TATATATATAAAACATTGATCTATGCAGCTTATGCATCAGATGAGCTTTACAGGAATTTTTCTGTCAGGGATGCTTTTCTATTCTCAACTTTTGTCTACAATAAAAAAAAATAAACTGTAAGATTTATATTGTTAGTTAATGTCCTTAGTGTGAATTTGTACAATTCCTCAGTTCAAGTTACTCTAAAGAGATAATTAGCAAATTTGTTAGTATGATTTATGATTCTGAGCAGAATGTTTGCATAGTAATGATCGTGTGAGTGGAGAAAAATATTAACCAAATAACATCATTGCCTTTGTTTAACAATCCAGTCAAATCCAGATGGTTGCATTCAAGTCCCGTCCAATGTTATTTCCAACTGAATATACTGTTTCACTGAAATGTCACATTATGAAAGATTCATGTTGTCTTTAATCATTAGTTGTGAATATTCTTAATTGTTTTGCTTTCTGCTGTTGTCTCTCCATCTTACACCCAGTGCTGATGTCCTAGCTGTTTTTTATGGAGAGCTGGGCTGGATGCAGAGTTCAGATGTAGAGAATCCTTGATGATGATGATGAAGAAGACCATGTTGCTGCTGATCGCTGTACTTCTAACTCAGGCTCTTCAGTCCCAGGGCAGACCAGCCACCCAAGATGAGAGTAAGTCTTTTTTGTAGTACTCTTGTTGTATTGTGAAGATGAGTTAATAATAAACCATGTCTCAGACACTTTGCAATTAAGCAACCTGAAATAGTTTTTAAATTGGTCATATCCTACACTTTCATGGCAGTTTTTTCTATTTTTCCCTCTTTAATCCACTTAATGTTGCTTAAGGTTTCTTTCACCAAAAACAAGTGTGATTGTTTTCCACCCTCTGTCTGAGCCTAAATTAAACAGACTGTATGTTGCAACAGTATCATTAGGATTTCTTCATATAAATGTACATCAGTAAGGTTTCACAGTGACCTAATGTTAAGCTTATATGCAGGTATATGTCTGCATAATACATCAAACAATTTTCTTCTTCTTAGTATTCACGGTGAAAAATGTGATTTAACCAATTCCAAGTAAATTTTTAAGTTAAACGAGATTTAACTCGGGTGTTTAAAACCATTCAAGTTGAAGTAATTTGTGCATCCAGTTTGATACTTAAAAATTGTAAAAAAAATAAATAAATAAAAAAAAAAAAAATGGTATGCCGTGTTCTTATTCTTAAGAGCAAATAAGATGCTGTCCCCATTAAAACAAGTTTGATTATGTTGAAATTGTACAATACAATTGTATAGCTATGTTGTATGACTATATGCACATTCTCAAACCATATTCATAACTCTAATATGCTGTGTGTACGTGGTGTGCCAAAGGGGAAACACATTCTACACAGCTGTGGAGGTTTACACTTGGATACCATTCGTTCTCCATTTCCACCTCATATCCAAAATAGTCATTTAAAACCCTAAGGACTTTCATGCATTACAGTTTTTTACGATTGCTTAAGCACAATTTTGAAAACAGGGCCCGGTTTGTCAAAACACTACACACAATTAGCACAACCCTACAGCAAAGTAGCACAACACTTCAGATCATTTGCAAAATGGAACACTTTTGTCAAAACTGAGTTGTGCAAATCTAGCCTTGTGTTTTGCTCCTTGAGTGTAAGGTTTTGCTAATTGTTGGAAACGTTTAATTTTAGCGTGTAAGCAATCGTAAAAAACTGTAAGTCATAGACAGAGAGTGAAAAAGGGAAACGGGTTGAAAAAAAAAAACACCAGCTGAAATAAAACCCTGAAAAATGTGTCCTTTGGCAGCATTCCAGCTGAGTGAGTGCCTGTGGCTCTCACAGGCCCAAACGTGCTTCCGTAGCTTCATCATCGTCTTTTGGATTTCGGAAACACAGTGTTCCCAGGAGACTTCTAAATGCCTTACATTACAGTTACCAGTATTATAAAGCGAACGGTCACTTCTGCTCTGGCAGTTTGTGGAGGCTTTAAATAAACACAGTAGGTTTGAATTTATCCCAGATCTGGAGGTGTGAAATAGCTGCCATCTGTACCCTCCGGCTATGCAAAAATACCTCACTTTTCTCTTCCCCCACTATCTCTCTCTCTCCCTCCCCGTTGTCTCGCCATCCTCCTTTTGTAATGAAAAGGTATTTGTTGTCAAGAGTTGACTACTGGAGACGCTATAAATTACTGCTTTTAAAAGAAGACACCGAAAGTACTCCGCCCTGTGGTGCTATTCCACAGTGGAGATCGTGTTTCTGGGAAAACGAAGCACGTTTACTTGTGGTTGAGTGCAGAGTTGTGAGACCTATGGGTAGAGAGCATAGACCTATGAAGTACTCTTCATGAAAAGTTGAATTGCATGAGAAAACTGGTAAATATTACCAAGAACGCAGATTTATTCCTGTAGACTCATTGCTGGTTTAACAAATTGGGGGCTCGTCCGGGATATAAGTTATTTCGTTGATTTCTGACTATTTTGGTAATATATTTCAGTTTCTGGCTATTTGTTTGAATACTTCCCTAAAAAGATTTTGTTGTGACTATAATGTAAGGAGGAAAACCCAACCCAACCTAAATGTGATGGATTACCTTTTACCCACTTAATGCTTGACAGCCAAATGGCCAGGCATGCTGATACCCTCTACACGTTTCCTCTACTCCTCCTCTCCCTTCTTCCTCCTGTCAGGACAGAGAGCACTTTTCCCTCTCTCCCCTCAGGCCTCCTGTGGTGTAAATGATAGTTTCAGCTGTTGATGAGTGACTGACACTCCAGCATTTGGTTACATTTGTTTTTTCCCTAGGTGGGAATACAACCTACACAAACAACAGGATTTCCTTAAGTAGTGTTTCAAATTTGTCTAAAGACTCTTAAATGGTTTGGGATCAGAAGACTTTCAAAGGCCCAAAATGTATTTAATTGAAAGTGGAAATAAAAATCTAAATCTAATATAAATGTGGACTTATTTGCAAGTCATTCAAAAATGTTCCTTTTTCCTTTTGTACAAATTAATGTTACACCTTTATAACTTCATATATGGTTAATGCTGATAAAATGTGGTTTTGTTAGTTTTATTTTAGTTTTGTTTATATACTAATATAGTATTTGTTTTAGCTCTTTTCCAGTTTAGTTTTACTAAATGTTTTAATAATTTTGTTGCGTTTTATTTTTTTTTGTTGTTTATATTTCTATTTAGCTTTAGTGCATTTTTGTTTCAGTTTTAGTTATTTTAGTACTTTAGAAATTTTTTATTTCAGTTATTCACTGGAGCAACATTTCTAATTTTAATTTTTTAAATTTAAGTTGATCTAATATTTATATTTTATTTTATTTAACTTTGTTTCAATTTCTTTCAAAATATTTTAAAAGTTTTAAAGTATTTTTAATAATTTAACAGTATCAACACTATTCTGTTAACCTCCAAAGAGCCAAGCACACACTACAAGACTCAAGCTGATTGTCTTTGTTTTGGTAGGTGTCTGTGGCAATATAACATGCTCCAACTAGTCATGGATGCTATGACAGATTTCAAACCAGTTTCATACTTCAAACTACGGTTGGGCGATATTTCAATAACGATAATTTTCGCGATATAATTTTCCTCAATAAAACGATATGAAGAGTTCGATAAATGTTCGATA